TTCTCCAACGAACCATATTTGTATAGCTAGTTGGACATAGATGGAACAGAACTTCCTCAGCTTGTTTCGTGCTGTCAGGGTTTTCACACTTCAGCATTGCACTGACTGAAGAAAAAACAGGCTGCGTTTCACCTCTCAGATGTCAGGTCAAAGCTATTCAAGTCTTTTTTAAGAGGTGACATTTAACACAATGATGTTCTGATTTCTAACACTAGTGATGTGTGGAGATGGGGGGGAGGGGGGAGGCTGTGAAGCAGGGATCCTGTTGCTGCAGATCTCAGCAGCAGGTTTGTTGCTGCAGGCTACTTCTTCCTCTCCTCGGGTCTCTGCGTACATCACCTGTTTGACGTGGACATGCAGCTGAAGCTGAAGTTGAAGCGGGCGCAAGGGGCGGGGTGGGGGAGTTGGTGGGGATGAACAAGATGCGCAACAGCGACAGAATTTCTCATTGGTGCATCAATATTACTGCCTCCCTGTCAGGGTGGTCATCCCCCCACCCCCCCACTACCACCACCACACTGCAGATTCCATATAATATTAGGTTTCAAAGCTGTCCTGTGCTCATCTAATCAGGATATTATATCCATCAGGACAGAGAGAGGCTGCTTTTAACTGTATTATGAGCTGCAGCTCTGCCAAACATTACTGCTATGGCCATGAAGGTAGTGAAAGGAGGGGAATTTATGACTCGGTTTCCTGGTGCCTTACTCAGCACAAGGCAAGGTCAAACAGCAGCTCATCATTTGTGATCACATCTGTTTAATGATATTGAATATTTGTCTTTGTCATGTTTTACTTTCCTGGACCCTGCAGGTTTTTTAAGGCATCTGATGCAGATACAGCAGGCCTCCAGTGCCCCCCTCAGACAGCAGGAGACTAAAAAGCAAACAGATTACCAGTACGTCTCCATCCACGATGAAGTGCTTTATCAAATGGGAAGACAAAAAGAACAGAAAAAAAAAAATTAGATGTAGCAAACTACAATCTTTGAAAAGTTTTATCTTTGTTCAACAAAGTTAAGTCCTCTGGAAAGGTTTCTTTTTGTTTTTGTTTGTCTTTCATCAATTCAGTTCCAGTCAATTTATTTATACATCGCCAAGTCACAACATAAGTCATCACAGGGCACTGAACAGAAACATTCATATACGTAAAAAGTAAGTTAACATGATTTATCTGAGGAGCAGACTGCTTTGAGTCTAACTCCATCACAGAGCTCTCATCTTGAGCAAGCATGAAGACAACAGTGGAAAGGAAAAACTCCCTCATGAGGAAGAAACCTTTAGCAGAACCAGGACAAGCAGCCATCTGCTTCAACCAGCTGGATTTGAGAGGAACAGGAAGGAGGAACAGATACACAATGGCAGGTCAAGAATCACATGTTAAGATGGAAACAATATCAAATGAAAATTGTTCAATTTTAGCAATTAATTTAAGGAAATAGGTCAATTTGTCCTCCAGTAATCTAAGACCATGGCAGCATAACAAGCCAACCCTAACTACAGGATTTATCAAAAAGCAAAGTCTTAAGTCCAGTCTTAAAACTGGACAATGTGTCAGCCTCACAGACAGAAACTGGAAGTTGGTTCCACAAGAGAGGAGCCTGATAACTGAAAGATCTTCCTCCCAGTCTGCTTTTGGAAACTCTAGGAACCACAAGTAAACCTGCAGTCTGAGAGCAAAATGCTCTTTTAGGAAAATATGGAACAGTAAGATCTGTAATATAAGATGGAGCTAGGTTGTTGAGAACTTTGTAGGTTAGAAGTAAGATTTTAGATTCAATTCTGGAATTGACAGGGAGCCAGTGGAGAGAAGCTAAAACTGGAGAGATATGATCTCTCCCACTAACTCCAGTTAAGACTCTGGCAACAGTATTTTGGATCAACTGAAGACTTTTTAAAGAAGTATTTGGACATCCAGATAATAAACCATTACAATAGTCCAGTCTAGACGTGATGAATGCATGAACCAGTTTTTCTGCATCATTTTTAGATGTTTCTAATTTTAACAATATTACGCAGTTGGATGAAGGCGGTTCTAGGAACTTTTTTAATGTGGGGATTAAAAAACATGTCCTGATCAAAATTAACACCCAAGATTTTTAACATTAGAGCTGTAGTCCAGGTTAACGCTATCTAAGGAAGGCGAACAACTGCACAATTTATTCTTTAGATGCTCAGTTCCAAAAAGTAAAACCTCAGTCTTGTCTGTGTTCAAAAGCAGAAAGTTTAGAGTCATCCAGGTTTTTCTGTCTTTAAGACATGCTTGTAGTCCAAGCAGCTGATTGAATTCATTGGGTTTCATGGACAAACATAACTGTGTAACATCAGCATAACAATGACAATGTATCCCATGCTGTTTAATAAGTTTACCTAATGGAAGCATAAAGTAGAGCCTGGTCCAAGCACTGAACCCTGAGGAACTCCATGACTAACTTTGGTTTATGAAGAAAATTCATTATTTGCATTTACAAATTGGAATCTTTCAGATAGATATAATTTAAACCAGTTTAGAGTTGTTCCTGTAATCCCAATATTATATTCAAGCCTGTTTTTTTTCCCCCCCCCCTCCATCCTCTGTACATATTCTCGTATCTCGGTGCAATGCCAATAAAGTTTATTCTGATTCTGTAGTAGAATATTGTGATCAACTATACCAAATGTACCATGTGATGCGAATGAATCTTCTTGAACTTGCAGCACTGAGGAAAACGGGAACAATGTAGACAAGTCCATTGTCTGAGGTCATGAGAATATCATTAGTGACTTTACTAGTGCCGTTTCTGTGCTATGAAGAGCTCTAAACCCTGACCGAAACACTTTCAGATTATTTCTTTGCAGATGTTCATGCAACTGACATTTCTATATATGGTGGAGGCAATCTTGGGATTTGACTTGGCAACCCATTTATTGAAAGGAACATTCGGGAGGGGTGATTAAAACCGTGCTAGAAATAATTATCCTGAGCAAATGTTTTTGCTTTCAACTTTTCCCTTTTCAGTGGCCTCTGAGGAATCATCCTCCTCCATGACACTCTGTCCTCACTCCAACTACATCCATGTCCTCTCTAACTGCAGCCATTGATCTCCTCTTTCCACAAGTCCACATTAGGAAAATAAATGACAAACTGCAAAAAAAGAGTTTTAAAATGTTTATTAAAAAAAATAGAAAACATACATAAAAAGAAAAAACCCCACAAGATATCCATGTAAATGTGACTCGTTTACACATTACAACCCATCCTTCAAGACACCGATATGAGCTGGGCTCTGGTGAGCTACAACCCAGAAACAAACCACATCATCTTCAAATCAAGGTGCTGAAAAGACAACAAAAAAAGGGATAATGCCAAAAATCCTGGACTCGGTTTTGTGTGCCAGTCAGATTAATTTGACTTTTAAAACACGAGACACCCTGTTTTGGTCGAGACTTGGAGCTTCACCAAAACCTAAAAGTGGGGATTTATGGCACCCACAGCTTCAGACCTCCTGTGGTTTGTTGTGAAAACCAAGCAGCTGTAAAATCTTGTTTAAAAATACAAACTTGGAATATGATGGAGCTAACGTTCTGAAATATAAGGACCTCTTTAACAGATTTATAATTCTACTCTTAGAATAATAAAAATAAGATCTGACATGATGCCAGTTTCAGTAAAGGTAGTCTGCTCACTGAGCGGACGTCTAGGAGGAGACACACACACAAACACTATGTAAACCTTGGCAGTACTGACTGAAACCAATACAAGCAGCTCTGGCTATGTACCCCCCACCCACCAAAAATATAACCAGATTTGGCCAGTAATGGAAGTTAACCTTTTGCTTTAACAAAATCAAAGCATATAAAAGGAAAAAAAAAAAAAAAAAAAAGACACTTTGCTGGTATAAGTAGCACCAACTCGTTTAGGAGAAACACGTAAACATGGCTAATGGTGCTGGACACCCCAACACGGTCTGGGGGTGTGGGGTGTGGGGGGGGGGGGGGTGTGACCCTCGATGTTTTAAGGTTTAAAATTAAACCTTTTGGAAAACATCCGGAGAGACAAATGGCACAATTCCACGTGATCCAAAACACCAAGAAAATAACCAAGTAAAAAGGTTGGCATCATCGAGGAGGGGATTTTGGCACATTTTTAATGTTATACCATAGCGCCCCCTTCTGGAAAGTTGAAAACCTTTCATAAACACGCTTGTTCGTGTACACGCGCACATGCACCCAAACACACACACACACACACACACACACACACACACACACACACACACA